TCAACTCGTGTCAGTGCTGCGGCAAGAATTCCCGCAGCTGGGTGTATGGGATGCTCGGTCGAGCACCGCGCCATACTTGCACATCGTGTGCAATGCAATCAGGCAGCGCGGACAACAACACCGATGCGAGGTGGCTGTCGCTGAGAGTCGTGCTCTCGCGTTTTTCGACGGCCTTTTGAAGCTTGTCGAAAGTGGCCAGGCTTCCGTCAAGCGAGCAATATCGCTCGAAGTTGAAGCCGTGGAACTTGGTGTATACGTCAAAGGCGGACGCAAACTTCTGCTCTACGCTGCAGAACTTGCCGCCACTTGATGATGTAGTGGGCGCATTGACCAAGGTTTGTGGCCGCGACGTCGCGGCGCACTGCCTCCGCGTAGACCAACGCGATAGATCGTTCGACATCCGCGTGTTCGGATTTCAGGAGGTGCTCTAGCGCGGCTTTGGCCCCGCGAGCTTCGAGGAACTTGGCCGAGAGATGTTCGGCCAGGTATTCCATGATGGGATCGATGAGCTTGGGCGCCACGTCATCAAGGACTCGTGGCGGGAGTGTTGGCTCAGATGGCGGTCGAAGACTGCGTCGTCGATGTGCCGACGCAATTTCTTGGTGTCGCCATCGAGAACGCGAAATGCACGCGTCAGGCCCTTGATGGACCACTTGGCTTCGACGCCAGTGCATTGCATTGCGTCGCCTGAGTGGTCAGGCCTTCTCCTTGGAGGACGATCGTGGTCAACTCAAAGTGCCACTCGTCAAAGTTGTCGATTCCACGCAGGTGGTGGACGACAGAGAGGGTTGGGCGGGTTGCCGCAGCAGAGGATGCGGTGGAGATCATAACCAGTGGGAAGGTGCAAAAGCCAGGGGGAACACTGGGTGGTTGCGGGTGAAACGGAAAGTGAATTAGCTTAGCTACCAGTGAGAACAACTGGCTCTAAAGGCTAGACGGACTAGCTAATGGCTAGCCAATCAGGACACGGCATCCTAATGATGTACCATGGATACGGCTGGCTATCTACTATCTGAGGAAAAGCCTTTAAAAGGCACAAAAACCTCCTACTAGCTGTAGCTACTACATACATAGATGGAGTGTTGCATTCTACAGTAACATGACCGAGTACTCCACCTTCTATTCCGTACTACCGGTAGTAGGCGACAGTGTTTATATTAATAACAAGTCCACCTTGATGTGTCAGAGACGCCGCCCCACACCCACGAACCCAGTAACTAAAGTATCTACTACCTCTGTCCGAAAGTGATTAACTAAAGTATCTACTACCTCTGTCCGAAAGTGATTGCACGAGTGTAAGTTTACGGTACAATTTATTACATTAACTAAAGTATCTACTACCTCTGTCCGAAAGTGATTGCACGAGTGTAAGTTTACGGTACAATTTATTACATTAACTAAAGTATCTACTACCTCTGTCCGAAAGTGATTGCACGAGTGTAAGTTTACGGTACAATTTATTACATTATACA